GAGGCTGTTAGAGCTTTCAAAAAAAAAAAAAAAAGCACTTGCCCCCCTGACTTTTGAATAATCTCCACATATTAACAGATTATTACACATTGCCCCCCTAACTTTTTAAAATTGCATACTAGATAGATATTTTCAATAAGAGTGGCCAATGCCCCAAAACGCAAGGAAAAAAAATATTTATATCTTTTGAACTGAGTAACACTGGGCAGAGCTTTTAATTGAGTAATAAGGAACGAATTTTTTGCAATTCTATCTTCCGGTTCATGGGACAACACTTGCATAGTTTTTTGGTAGCTTTATTACATGTTTCGAAATGTCAATTGACACACCCTAATTCCAACCTAATCCTTTGTAGCTCACAAACCCATCTCGACACACCCTCGCTATATAGGTTCAGAGTTGTATATCCCATTACTTACCTAATGCCTACTAAAACACAGAAGTTTCTGATAATTGCTAACCCTTTTGCTTAAATTGTTACTACCGCTAGCAAACACCTTCAGTCTACACTTAAAGCACCAAGTGAGTAGCAATTTGGACAAAAACTTCATTTTCAAAACAACGTTGTACATGGGAGATAAACGTGAATATAATGCCATAATCCCAATTATATTTCACAACCCAAGTAATCATAACATCTAAAACCAATAACTTGAGATAAACAAATTATACTTGGAAATGATAAGGACTTCTAAATCAAGAGTTTGACATGCTAAATGTAACCCTACTATTTTTTCTTATGATGATCTCCTATATATCTACAACTAAAAAATGCTACAAGATATCCCCATTCTCTCCCTTGCAAGCCCCAGGTTGCTTATAATCTCTATAAAGCTTCTATTATGATAATCTCCAATTTGAATACAGTCAATACACTCAAATCATACATATATCCAAACAAAAGTTATCACGAAGAGATTGACACAATAGCCTTCTTGCAATGGAAGCATAAAAAAAACATAACACTAAAGAAAACATACATTGGAACTACGTACTAAACTAAAGAAAATGAAAATGAAAATAAAATGAAACAAATCAAAAGAAACTTTAAGCCATATAAAGAAAGGCTCAATCACCTATAGAGCTAAATAGGACAAACAAACAAAGCTAGCAAAAAAACCTTCATAGAGGATAAATGGCCTAAACTCTTGAGAGCACACAATTCCCAAACTCCACAAACCACCTTGAATCATTTAAATAACCAATATTCATAAGAAAAGGCAGCTATGCAAGTTCAATAAACAATATGTTCCATTCCTTTTACCACCACTCAAGTCACTTTCCTTCCCCTTTTCCCTTACTAATTCACCCTACTAGTTAACGTTTTAAATTCTATTTCCAGTTTTTCTGAAGCCTTTTATCTTTGTTCTAGACTCTTTTGCTATGTCAAAAAACCTTATGCGAATTTCATAATCAAACAACTATCTGGGATCATCCTCTGATAGCCATATGCCACCTTAAGCTTCGTACTACCCTCCATTATACCACCCATGACCAACTAAGAACCCTCAATTTTCAACCTAGATTCTCCTTCCCCTCGAGGAACAAGCAAGCACACACACACACCACCAATTACAATACTCTTAAGCACTCCCCAAAGCTAGTCAAATCATTCACACATTAAATCTAAAAATTCATTATCTCAATAAAGCCCTTAAGATGATCAAATAAAAAGGACAACACGGTACACGAAATTAACTCACTTCTTTCTCTTAATAAGAACATAAATAAAAATTACATCCCTAGCTTAGTACCGACATGACCTCTAGTGCACTCTCCATGATGAACTAGTGACACTTTGATTGTGACTCCCAATGTCCCATCCCATTTGGAACATGCATATATGGAAAAGAACAAAAGGTCGATACATCTAGCCTTTACCTTTGCAAACTCAAAATCCTCTTTTCATTTCCCCTCCAGAATAATAATTGCTAGTGGTCCTTCATTAAGCAGGTTGATTCTAGTACCTTGCATCCCTTTGCCCAGGTTGATTCTAGTACCTTGCATCCCTTTTCCCATCAACTCCTCTAAACCAACCTCGAGAATGAAGTTATACAGTCAACCAAAAACTCAATTTATTTTCATTTGGGGTGGGTTTTCAATATCAGAAAAGTATTTTATTATTGAAGGAAAGAAAAAGGCATGCAGTCCAAATAAACAAAATATACTTCTCAGCAATTAGTATTTCGTTTTCAGCCTACCTTTGGTTGTGCTATCAGCAACATGCTCTAGGCATCTGAGGTGCTCCATAACTTGGTTTCAGCCTACAAAAATCGACTTCTCTGTCCTCAATTCCGGAATAGACCCGAGCTTGAAAAATGTGAGTAGAATGCTCACAACCGTTGGCTGGAGCAACACCCGTGGCCTCAAAAGTAATGTAAAACATAAAACCTGAAACAATCTGCAAGTTCAATTTGTGGACCTTCACAAACTCATATTGGGTATCCTGTGTTTTAAGAATAGATTTACACAATAATAAAAAAAAAGAGTTAGTAAAAGAAAGGAATATGTATGAAATAACTTAATGGACGAACATGCAGGCCCATACATTATCAGAGTTGTATTTGTCAAGCGCTAATTTGGAACAAATCTTGACATCCTCAACAAAATCTTCAGTTCTTCTATCTAGGTCCGATACTGGTATTATGAAACCAAGCGGATACTTGTTGGGGATTTTGTCAATGTCAAAGCCCTGTCCATATATGAATGAAGTCATATAAGAATAAAAAACAATCGGAATAAAAAACAATTAACACATTAACAAAAGAGAATGCTGTGTATACCCCGCTCTCGTTGACCTGTTTGATGTACCTCTGAAACTCCTCATCGGTAAATTCATCATCCGAATCTTCATAATTGGTTGTTCGTTCTTGTGGTTGTTTGTTATCATCTTCCTCTTCCAATTTTTGTTTCTCTTTCTCTTCTTCTAGTGGTTGCTTGTTATCATCTTCTTCCTCATCCAACATCTGTTTTTTCGGCCATGCTTGTTCTTCTTCTGGAGGTGATTCAGATGCGTTATCGGCCATCTCTCCCAGCTTTTACGAACCAGAACCCTAGTACACCATTTTCCCCATCACCGATGTTGTTATAAATTGAATTTTATCAACAATCTCCCCCCCTCCCCCCCCCTCCCCCGCCGCGGCGTTATGTTTAAATTTAATGGCACCCCTTTCTATTCTGAAAATGTTTTTAATTTTAAAATCAAAGATATCCTTTAACAGTAATTTTTAATTTTGTCTCTTATGTAAATATACTAAAATGTCATCAACTTTTTTTTTTATTATATATACCACGCTTTTTGTTATTTTTGAAAGTCCAAAACGATTTGGGATTGTTGGAAGATAAAGTAAATTATCAATCATTATTCTTTAACTCTTTTTTCACGGTGATCGATCAATGCCTAAATTGGTAAAAAAAAATTTTTTTTTATACATATTTGTAAATATTTTTCATGCAAATTTTTAAAAAAAATTTCATGCATTTTATTTATTTATTTTTCATGCATATATTTTTAATTTTTTTCATGCAAATTTTTAAATTTTTTTCATGCAATTTTTTTTAAAATTTTTCCATCCAAAACGAATTTTAAATCATTAAGTCAATTTTTTTATAAGTTGTTCGATAAGAGGTACACTTTTTAGTTTCTTATTTTTTTATATTACCTAAGTTCCCTATGTAGTATGTTTTTTATTATTCATTATAAATTACAGGTTTTAAATTTATTTTATAGTTAAAAATAATTTTTCTATAATAAAATTACAATGAATAAAGTCAATGCAAAATTCCATCAATTTCTTACTTCTCTGCTATCATATGTGATCCACAACTTCACATGACCACTCTTCATACATCATTCTTCATATATAAATTTTAAATATTATTTAATAAAATTTAATATTAATTAAATAAATTTGGTCTTAATATGATAAATTTAAATATCAATTTGGTTTTAATTTGATAAAATTAAATATTAATTCAGTGTTGATTTGATAAAATTAATATTAATTGAATAAATTTAAATGTTGTTTTAATGAAATTGAATGTTCATTTAATATTAAATTAAATAACTGACATTAATTTGATAAGAATAAATGTTAAATTAATATAATTTATATTCTATTTAACATATTAAATTTTAATTTAACAAAATTAAATGTCAATTTGGTGTTGACTTGATGAAATTGAATGATAATTTAATGTTAAATTAAAGAAATAATATTAATTTCATGAAATAAAATATTAAATTAATATAACTAGATGCTAATTTGATAAAATTAAATATCAATTTGTGTTGGTTTGATGAGGTGGAATGTTAATTTAGTTTAAATTAAATAAAGGATATTAATTTGATAAAATTAAATATTAAATTGATGAATATAGAGGTTAGTATAATATGACTAAAGGGGAGTGCATTGAAATTTCAGAATCAGTAGGGAGTATTGTTAAAGATAGGTTTATTTACAAGGGGTGTCGTTGAAATTATGTCTATGTACAAGGGGTGTCGGTAAAATTTATCCTATAAAATATTCAGAGATATTTTTATAAATTAACAATCATTGTTAATGCCGTAATCTCAACAAACATTGATAGGGGGTCACAGTGAAATTTCAAAATCGATAAGGGGTGTCATTAAATTTAGACCTAATTACGAGGACTACGTATAAAATTTTCTCTAAATTAAATGAGATCACATTTATTTAGGTGTTTTGAGTGCTTGAATTTGGATTTATTCCATCCAGCCCACATCCAATGGCCTTTTCTCTAAATTAAATGAGATCACACTTGTTTATTTCGATTTTGCTGGTGTTTTGAGTGCTTGGATTTGGATTCATTCCATTCGGGCCACATCCAATGGTTCATATATGGGAAAATTGTAAGAAGATACGCGAAATTAGAGTTATTTGTCAAAAAATACATAGCTCTTAATGTTATAGGTAATTAAGTCATTATTTTTAGAACTTAATCTTGTCCAAGTACATAATTTGATTTTTTGTAATTTTCTTTTGACATATTGCTCCTCCTTTAAATCATGCACATTTCTTTTGACACTTAATTAAATTTTTGATCTTATTTTATTGTATTAAATATTTCCTAATATAATGAAAAATTTATATTATCACAAGATTTACATATAACGTTGATAGAATATATCTCTGCCATTTTGAATTTTAAATTCTTTTTTCATTATCATTGATAGTAAACAACACCTCTCTTCTTCTTCTCCAAATTATCAGTTATTAACGTTCGAAAAAGTTCAAACCTATCATTCTTATTATCCTCCAACAAATACAGAAAAACTCAAAGATATCGTATATCTTCTCCTGCAATGTTTATTTATTATCAAGGTAAACTTATGTTTTCTTTCGTTTTTTTAAATTAAGTTCTTTTCATATGTTGCTAGTTAGTCTCAAATTTTTTTATCTTCACAGTTTTTGTATTTGTTTCTACTTATTATATTGAGTAGTCACTTTTTTTGTTAACTTTTCATCTTTCAAATGATTATTTATTAATTATAATATTTTTGTGTTTAATGAATTTTTTTTTTTACATTTTTGTTTTTGAATACTGAACACTACAATAATGGTTGTTGTTTGAATTTTAAATTATATTTTCTTCCTCATCCAATTTCTGTTTTTTCGGTTATGGTTGTTCTTCTTCTAGAGGAGATTCAGATGCGTTATCGGCCCTCTCTCTCAGCTTTTACGAACGAAAATCTTAGCACACCCTTTTCCCCAATCTCGATTTTGTTATAAATTAAAGGAAAAATTTCATCCACACCCCATCTAGTTAAGTCTAAATTAAATGACACTCCCTTCCAATTCTGAAATTTCACTACACCCCCGTCTGTTTTATACTTTCAAATCAAAGATACCTCTTAACGGTAATTTTTAACTCTGTTAATAAAAAAAAAGTAAAGGTTTGACTATAAATTTTTTGAAAATGTCAAAACTATCATTCCTTATGTAAATATACTATAATGCTATTAACCCTTTTTTCACTATATAAATCACACTTTTTGTTGTTTGTGAAGGTCCAAAACGATCTAGGGTTGTTGGAAAATATGGGATTGAAGTCAACCATTATTTTTCAACTCGTTCTCTACAGTGATCGATCACTGCCTAAGTTTGTAAAAAAAATTATTTTTTTTCTTGCAAATTTGTAAATGTTTTTCATGCAGATTTTTTTTTAAAATTTAAGGCAGTTTTTATTTATTTATTTTTCATGCAGATATTTTTAATTTTTTCGTGCAAATTTTTTTAAATTTTTTCATCCAAAACACCCGTTAGAATTTTAAGTCATTAAGTCAATTTTCTTATAAGTTGTTGGATAAGAGGTACACTTTTTGGTTTTTTATTTTATTATATTACCTAAGTTCTCTCTGTAGTATGTTTTTTATTATTTGTTATAAATTACAGGGTTTTAAATTTATTTTATAGTTAAAAATAATTTTTCTATAATAAAATTACAATCGATAAAGTCAATGCAAAATTCCATCAATTTCTTACTTCTCTAATATCATCTGTCGTCCACAACTTCACATGATCACTCTTCATACATCATTCTTCATATATAAATTTTAAATATTATTTAATAAAATTTAAAGTTAATTAAATAAATTTGGTCTTAATATGATAAATTTAAATATTAATTTGATTTTAATTTGATAAAATTAAATATTAATTCAGTTTTGATATGATAAAATTTAATGTTAATTGAATAAATTTAAATGTTGCTTTAATGAAATTGAATATTCATTTGATGTTAAATTAAATAACTGACATTAATTTGATAAGGCTAAATGTTAAATTAATATAATTTGTATTCTATTTAATTTATTTAATTTTAATTTAATAAAATTAAATGTCAATTTGATATTGACTTGATGAAATTGAATAATAATTTAATGTTAAATTAAAGAAATAATATTAATTTCGTGAAATAAAATATTAAATTAACATAACTAAATGCTAATTTGATAAAATTAAATATCAATTTGTGTTGATTTGATGAGATGAATGTTAATTTAGTTTAAATTAAATAAAGTACATTAATTTGATAAAATTAAATATTAAATTGATGAATCTAAAGGTCAGTATAATGAAACTAAAAAGGAGTGCATTAAAATTTCAGAATTAGTAGGGAGTATTGTTAAAGATATGTCTATTTACAGGGAGTGTCGTTGAAGTTATGTCTATTTACAAGGGGTGTGGATAAAATTTACCCTATAAAATATTCGGGTGTATTTTTATAAATTAACAATCGTCATTAACGCCGTAATCCGACAAACATTGACAGGGGGTGACAGTGAAGTTTCAAAATCGGTAAGGGGTGTTATTAAATTTAGATCTAATTACAGGGAGTGTGGATAAAATTTTCTCCAAATTAAATGAGATCACACTTATTTATTTTGGTTTTGTTGCTGTTTTGAGTGCTTGGATTTGGATTTATTCCATCCGACCCACATCCAATGGCATTTTCTCTAAATTAAATGAGATCACACTTGTTTATTTCGATTTCGCTAGTGTTTTGAGTGCTTGGATTTGGATTCATTCCATCTGGCCCACATCCAATGGTTCATATATGGGAAAATTGTAAGAAGGTACGCGAAATTAGAATTATTTGTCAAAAAATATATAACTCCTAATGTTATAGGTAATTAAGTCATTATTTTTAGAACTTAATCTTGTCCAAGTACATAATTTGATTTTTTGTAATTTTCTTTTGACATATTGCTTCTCCTTTAAACCATGCATATTTCTTTTGATAGTTAATTAAATTTTTGATCTTATTTTATTGTATTAAATATTTCTTAATATAATGAAAAATTTATATTATCACAAGATTTTCATATAACGTTGATGGTGTATATCTCTGCCATTTTGAATTTTAAATTCTTTTTTCATTATCATTGATAGTAAACATTGATGATGCACAAAATTGTCTTATACAAGATCAATAGTCAAGAAGGTGAATAGGTGCAATCAATGAGCAACAAGCAATCAATGACAAAAATAGTAAATAAGAA